AAAAAAAAAAAAAAAAAAAAAAAAAAAAAAAAAAAACTCATACTATGCATCTGTCACCAATGTCTTTCCAAGATGCCAGTTTTACCATTCACTCTGCAAAGCTACCAGAACTATTGTAATGCCTGGTTATGGAAAAATAGACAACCAGATCTAATGCATATTGTATAATCAATGTATGATAATAATAACAATAAAGCAAAATATAAACTTTATCACAGTAAATTAAAGCATGAATCAATCACAACATAAAAAAAAATAAAAATAAAAAAAAAGGTAGTGAAAAATATTCAAATTCCACTAGAACACAAACGACAGCAGATTCTAATTTAGAGAGCAAAGATCCAATCACAAAATCACACATGCACACAAGAGTTGCAATAAAAGTTTTGGATACCTTGACAGAAGTATCACCAAGTTGTACAGAAGATGTAGTTTTTGCAAGTGGGGCTTTGGTGGAGGAATAGATGGAGAAGAGAGGGCCACTACTAGGGGGTCCTGATGACTGGATATGAGGGCCAATGAAATTAGAAAGATGGTGTTGAACAAAATTTGAGACTTGCTCAATGTTGTGAAACAAGGCCAGTAGTGGATTCCCAGACATGTTACCTGAGATATGAGCAGGAGACAACATGGGGGAACAAAAGATAACAATCACAATCACAATCACAATCAGAAAAGCTCAACATCAAAATAAAAATAAACCATGTGATTCACATGCATGCAACAAACTATAATCTGAACACACCTTATTACAAATCATCCACGGATTTTTTCCACCAAGAACAGCTAGCTCACAATGAATCAAGAAGGAGAAACAAAGAACAGTTTACACCATCCTCAATTTTGACATAAATGGTTAACCAAATTTGGTTGTTCTTAAGAACACTTCAGCATCAAATTCCTACTGTTGTTTGTGCGTGCTGCAGCCTTTGGTCATTGACAACTTGTTAGAACACCCACCCACACTAGATTTCATGCATTCACATATCATTGAAGCATAATAATCAGGATTGAAAGAACTATCACCAGTATGCACCTCATGTTACAAGACTTTGAAAACTAATCATCACATATAAAGAATTGTAGCAAGCATTTTCTCAAACATATAGGGCCCCTTTAATTAAACAAGCACCGGAATCAGACAAAAGTCATGAACATGATTCAAAATGATAGACATCTTCCATGATTCACTACATCATTCACAATCTACTCGAACCAATTTGATTTGCATGCAACGGGTCAACAAATCTCATGCTAAAAAAGAGATTTTTTTTTTCCCAACAACAATCTCTGAAAAAATCACCCCATTAGTTTACATTGCCCATTCAAATTACACACATAAAAAAGAAAAAACAAAAATAACCACACCACATAATTGTCATTTTCACTTACATGGGGCATAATCTGAGAGGGAAAAAACATTGTTTTCAAGCATAATAATAGCAAAGGAACACTACCAACACCCCTACGAATTTTATCCAATGGATGGCATGCAAGCGTGAGAAAGCACACTCATTACTTAATGTCACAGTATACTCCAAATGGTTGAATCAGATACCCAAAGCAAAATCCTCTCATAACTAGTGCGACTGTAAGCAAATGAAAGAAAGAAAAAAAAATGAGTTTACCAACTTGAGTCAAAGCTTTTGGGTTCGACGGAGTTTGTTTGTGGAGATTTTCGAGCACGATGAGGTTGAGAAAGTTCGCGGGAAATGGCAAAATGCATGAGCTCTGATCCGACTTAGAATATGAAGTCGGAGCTGCGGTGGCGGTGGCGGCGACGCAAGGTCATCGGCATGCGAGGGGGAGGAGGAGGTGCAGCGGCGGTGACGTGCTGGCGGCGGCGAAGGCGGCGACGAGCACAGCAGTCAGTGGAGCGGGGAGAGCCTTGGGAGGTTAGAGAGAGAGGTGATGATAGAAGGTGGGGTTAAGGTTTTAAGACAAATTGGGAAATAGAAAATTGAAAAAGGGACAAATAGAAAGAAAAAAAACATTTTAGTCATTTTTCTTCTCCTCATTTATAATTAATATTTTTAGAATAGTTTTAGGAACTTTTTTATTATGAGAAAATTTTAAAAAAATATTTTTTTTTTAAATACTCACCATCTCAAAAAATATTCTGAGAACACATTCTGATGGCATCCTACCTTGCATGAACTTGAGATAATGAGCAAGGGAGAGGACGCCTACTCCTTGGATCAAGCCCTTCAAGGGTGATGTGTGATTTAGAGAAGGAATATGGTGGAATGGATAAAAATGGAGAGTGTGGATGAAGTGTTTGATGAAAGGTTTGAGAGGACATTCTAGGGTTTGGCTCACTTCAAGGTAGATGAAGGTCACTTCTAGGGTTTAGCTCTCAAGGTAGAGATAGGATGGGAGGTGGCCGAAAATAGCCAAGGTGACTAAGGATGATATAAAGGCAAAAATGCTCTCTTTATATTCAATTTCCAAAGTATTTACATGATGCATAGCCTAGGGTATTTATAGGAGTGGGAGGCATCTAGGGTTGCATTTGGAGAGTGCATGGCCAAAATTCACAAGCCAAATGCGCACCAAATGAAATGCAAATTAACCCTAGATGCAACTTGGTGGCCAAGGATGGAATCTTTGGGATTAGTTAGGCTACATCTAGGTGCATGATAAGACCATGCAACCTTTGCCCTCCACTTGGGCCTAAGCCTTTCTAACACCAAAAATAGGTCCAATTCGACACGGCTAAAGGCTAATAATCTATGCCAATAATTAATGCGCATAGATTAATTTCTTGAAAGTAAAATCAATCTACATTTTAAGCATTAGCATAAAATCACCATTGCATAACATGCATATGACACAAGTATGCACAAAAGGGTATAAGTTCCATTAAATAAAAGAAAAAAGAAAAGAAAAATAGGAACATCCAATCCATTCCTTCTTTGCATTTTCTTTTGCATTCTTGCATTCTTTGTGTCTACTTGCTACGGGTAAGAGGGAATCATTAGGCCGAAGCACTCGTAAAAAGCTCAATAGCCAAGCAAGGCCTCAAAAGCCGAAACCATGTCAGAAGCCTAGCCCAATAGGGGAACTCCTTACAAGTGGTTCCGTATAGCCACCATGTAAAGAAAGACACTTCGACAACAAGATGGAGTAGAACTGGCCAAGAAAGAATAAGTGACCCTACAAGCATGAAAAGGCCACCACACTTTATTCTATCTTCGATCAAGCTTTACTTTTCAATTGAATCAAAGGTGATTCAAGAGAATGCCAAGACCATGACTTCCTCACCAAAGCCAAGAGTGGCTTTCAAAATAATACTTATCCATAAAGATTCAACGAATACCATCATCATGGAGAAGGGATCTCTCTACCAATAATGATAACAAATAACAAACAGAAAAAGGCAAAGCATCAATAAGAAAAAGCCAAAGCTAAAATTGTAATAAAATCAAGACTCAGAAAAATCCTCAACACGAGGGATTCAACTACCAAGCACGGGGCAGAGTCTCCCCACAAGCTGCTCCCATCAACCAATCAAGACAAACATCTTAACTCGACAAGATCAAGACCGATAAAAACTTGTAAGACAACCACAACACCCTCAAGCCACATCGACAAATACCATATCACCACAGAGTTTCCCTTGCTCCACATCACATCACTCCTTAACACCCCGAAAACTCCAACAGAAAAATCAAGACATCCTCACCTACCTCTTGGTGGTCAAGACATCACTTCAATGAGCACCACCCCAAACAACACTCCCACAATACATCCACATGGATTCACCTCAACAATCAACAATCACGCATCAAAAGGACAATCTTTCTACCCATTAGCATAAGGGCACTACCAACAAACTATCATCACCCCCACCTAAGAGAAGAGGCAATCAAACTACATCATCACAAGCAAGCAGCCTAAAGAGACCGACACAATAATACTCATCTTCACAAGCAAGCAACCTGAAGAGGCCCACACAATAATACTCACCATCTCAAAAAATATTCTGAGAACACATTCTGATGGCATCCTACCTTGCATGAACTTGAGATAATGAGCAAGGGAGAGGACGCCTACTCCTTGGATCAAGCCCTTCAAGGGTGATGTGTGATTTAGAGAAGGAATATGGTGGAATGGATTAAAATATTTATTTACATAAATTATTTATGTTTTATATTAAATTTCAATCATCTAATTATTAAATTAAAAATTTTTAATATATAATTTAAGATGAAAATTTTAAAAAAAATTAAAAAAAATATATAATACTTCATTATATAAATTTAAGTCAATATATAAAATATTTTTATAATTATCCATCAATTTGAATTAATATAATGAAGTATCATAATTTTTATAAAAAAAAAAAAGTTATTGACTTCATCTATGCATTAAAAATTTTTACTTTTATGATTGTGACACTTTCTACCTCACATATCATATTAAACATGATACTTAAAACTGAATAGAAAAGAATCCATAAATGTAGCTTTAACATAAGTTCTATAAGAGCATGTCATATTATATCTAACTAGAAACAATATATCAAGCCATGGTCTTATGAAATTTATTAACAATGAAACTTGAAATGAATGTTAAACTACAATAAGGGGGTTGAATTGTTTTATATTTTAAAAAATTGTTCTTTATAAAAATTTGTTCTTTAGAAGGCACATCTTCTGAGTATGAAACCTAAAGTATTTGTCTAAAAATAATTTCTAAGTTTACTTATTTGTAAAATGGATTATCCAACAATGTAATAATGGATGCAATAAGTTAAATACAAGTAAAGAGATAAAGAGGGAGATTGAACACACAATTTATACTAATTCACCCCATTTAGACTTACACAACCTTGTGAAATTTTCACTAGTTACAACCAACTATTGTTCAATAAAACTCAATCACTTTCCAATACAAATCATTACTACATAGCCACATGTTGTTAGTGCCAAACACTCAACGACTTGCTAAGATTTCTTCACTCAACTACCTATTAAGAAAACAATCCCACAATCACTTGTTATAAGATTAAACAACACTTGTTGTGGTCCCATTCTACTATCTTACACCTCTGCACATTTAGATATGGGAAAGAATAATATTTACAAAAAATATGTTTTATGTTCTTGTACATTGTTAAGATCATACACTACAAGAAAGTTGCAAATTAGAGAAAGATCATTCACAAATCTCTCACTAAACAGAATGACGAGAGATTAGAAAGGGATTTGCGAAGGATAATTCCCTTGCAAAATTCAAGTCGCAAATTAAGGATGGATGCATGTCCCTCGCAATTTTCTTGCCACATTCCTTTGCCATTTCCTCATAATAGGTTTTGTTAATTTGTCGTAAATTTGTGCCGCTAATTCATTGTTACGCCTCGCAAATGTAGAACCCCAATTCCCTCGCTAACTACATTTGATATTTCCTTGCTAACACGCCGCAAAACCTTTGCAAGATATCATTTGTTACTTTGTCGCTACTCCATCACAAAATATTGTTTAATTATTTCCTCGCTAGTCCTTTGCGACTCCGTCACAATTATCCCTTATTATATTGTCGCTAATTCCACGCCAAATACCCACACTAATGAACCTTCTGCATTGTAACACACCTACAAGAATGCTCACACATGAGATTGAAGGTTGTTCGATAAACCCTAAAAGGTAAAATTGAAAGTTAAGTTTCAAGAAATTTCACCTTTCACCGTAAAATGCCTTCACCGCACCTACACCACATTACCTTGCACCTCCGGTACCACACTGCACCTTCTTCCCCTTTTGTGAGTTTGGCTCCTGTATTTTGGGTTCCCCTTTTGTGAAATTTTCACTGGGTTCACGAGGTAAAGTAAAACAAATGCGCTCACAATCTTTATGCGAGGGAAACTAAAAAATTTAGACAAAATGAATAAATAAATAATAAATTAATAAAAATGTGAATAAAATCAGCAAAATAACTTGGCGCAATGACCGTCGCACAATTGACATATGCTTTGCCTATACAATCCCACCAACTCGAATTGATGGAAGTGTAAAAAAACCCTTAATTATTTTTTTATTTTCATTAAAAAATATATTTTATAATAAGTTAAGGATTTCATTAATATTATAAATGTTTAAATTGTACACAAGATAAAAAGAAAAGTTAACTTAAAATAAGTTAAACATTATAAGAATTTATATAAAGCATAGATAAACATTAAAATCTCGCTCTATATATAATAATTTGTAATTTTAGATCAAAAGTTACTACAATACAACACTTGAAAGGTAACAATTGAAAATAAATTATTTTGTAATTTTTGTTTCATCAAGTTCACTAACATCATTAATTATTATAAACAAATTCAAAGTATTTTATGCTTTAATTAATTTCATCTTAAAATAGGTGATGTGAGATTTTGTGATATACAAAAATATAAGACTAAACTAATTAATAAACAATATGTTGTTGCTTTAAAAAAAATATTAAATATTTAGTTTATATAATTATTTAATACAAATTAATAACTTTCATTTAGATTATTTTAATGTACACATATTTTTTTTGGGTATTCAACTATTCATAGAAAATATTTCTAACAACTAATTGTTGAATTGTACTGTGTATATTTTATGATGTTACCAATACATTTTTAATTTCAATAACATACACCTTTATTTCTTGAAGGTGACCTTCCCCATTAATTGCCTTGAATGCATGATATATATATATATATATATATATATATATATATATATATCAAA